CAGAAATTTCTGAAGAAGGGTCTAGGCCTGAAACGTCAGCTTTCCTGCTCCTCTGATGCTGCTTGGCCTGCTGTGTTCATCCAGCTCTACACCTTGTTATCTTTAATGTTCTAGGGGACCCTGGTTCGAATCCTGCCACAGCAGATGGTAGAATTTGAATTCAATAAAAAAAACTTTGGAATTAACCATGTTACGATGACTTTGCATTCATTGCCAATTGTTGGAAAAACCCACCTGGTTCACTAATGTCCTTTAAGGAAGGAAACTATCATCCTTACCTGGTCTGGCCTACATGTGACTCCAGACCCACAACAATGTGGATGACTCTTAACTGCCTTCTGGGCAATTAGGGGTGGGTAACCAATGCTGGCCTAGCCAATGATGCCCTCATCCCATGAATGATTCAACAAAAATCATTTTAATAATATTTGCAACAGTTCTTCACCATTTTAAAGCTTGAACTACAGTGCATAAAATCTACCTCTCACTTCCTTACACACACACACACACACACACGCTGGCTCAACTGAGAACATAGAGCTGAAAGGTAAAAAAGTGAGACACAAAAATGCAAGAGGCTTTTATAAGGGGGTGCTCCTCTAGCCACGAGTCTCTACAGTGATCCCTTACTGCAAGTTACATTGCTCAATTAAATTTCTCAAAAAAAGTCCAAAGGCGCTGAAACATCTCTCATTTCAGGGTATACATTTCTGAAGTCATAAAACCCAGGTTTTGCAGTGAATTAATTTATACTCAGATTCAGAGACCTCTGAAAGAGGACCACAGCTGAAAGAAGCTACTCAAATTAACAGCATAGGGAGTGATCAGGCATTGAGAGTTCTGTTCCATTGCAGAGACCAAAGACCGCAGACTTGTGCCAAGCTCTACTAACCTCTCACTTATCATGATCGAGTAATCCAATAGCCCAAGTTCAATCTCCGTTTGCTACAAATTTCAAGCAGATAAGGACTGTAATAAATAAAAGCGATGAATGAACATCACGGAGAAGCTGACAGCTGCTAGAATTCAGCATCAATCTTTTCCAACTGGAATTTCCATCCTGTAAATTATGGTTAGAGGGAATTGGCGAGCCAATTAATATCAAGGTGCTGACTTGAAATACAGCACTGATGAAGCTACCCATTTTGACCCTCTTCACTGTGAGTGGGGAATGTTCAGTTCCCAGGAAAAATGAAGAGCAAACAGGGGACAGAAATCTGTTTTACATAATTGCAGCGTTAGGGACCCGGGTTCAATTCCACCTTCAATGACTGTCTGTGTGGAGTTTGCACATTCTCCCCGTGTCTGCGTGGGTTTCCTCCAGGTACTCCAGTTTCCTCCCACAGTCCAAAGACATGCAGCTTAGGTGGATTGGCCATGCTAAATTGACCGTAGGGTCCAGGGATGTGCAGGTCAGGTGGTTTAGCCATGGGAAATGCACCGATACAGGGATAGGGTAGTGGGGTAGGTCTGGGTGGGATGCTCTGGGAGTGTTGGTTTAGACCCAGTGGGCCAAATAGCCTGTCCTGCACTATGGGGGTCCTGTGAAATGCAGAAGTGATAGTACAGAAGCAGGCCATTTGGTTCATACTGGTGAAGATGATGACTCCTTCCAGCTGGTGTTACCACACACCCAAACCGTCTGGAGTCTCCAGTAACTGAAGGTTAATGTCCAAGAGCATAAACTTGGAGAAAAAGCACAGGGTCACTAAAATAATCAATTTTGCCTTCACTTTTTGTCTAGTAGTTAGGAAAATATCGGGAAGGGTTTTACCATGCAGAGCAGTAGAAATGTCATGACACCTCTGTGAATGTGTCCAATCAAAATTAGGTAAGACTACCCCCACGCTACTTCATTTGCTCCTAACCTTATATCCTTCCATTCTGTTACTCACCCCAACAACACCACCATGTATTTCTGAAACTTCATCTACAAAACAAATCCTCAAGTTTTGTCTTATTGCTCTTTGGCAGAAAGTTCTGCGAGAATTTCTGATTGGTTGTTCCTTTATCTTCATCTGTTTTTTTTTAAAGAAAACTTTTTTAAATTCCAGTGATACCTTAGAGAGAGTTGTTATGTTGAGCCCCACTTTATGAGAGACTCAAATTTGCATCAATGCACATAGGAGTCTTGTAAAGGAAGTCATTTTTGACCAGTCCCCAGGTGAAGACCCCCAAGTTATTACAGCTCCAAATGGTATACCCCAAATTGTCAAGCCCCTGGCTCCCCTTCCTTATTCACCCACCACCTCGGTTGGCCATAACAAGATTAATTTACACAGGATCTCCTCCCTTATGAATACCTTTCTCTGAGACCAAGTGAATTTATGTACTGCAAGGAACCAACTTGATCAGGTTTTCTTAGGTTAACAGAGAGTAAGTTTATTAATTGCTGAATGAGAGAAGAAATGATAACATATTGCAGATACACACACAATGGAAATAAGAAGTGAGTCCATAAAAGTAGGTAAAAGTTGCGGGGCATACAGGCCAGGCTTTGTGAGTCATCTGTGAAGAGTAGATAGTGGAATGTTAATTGTTAAACAGTTGGTTTTAAAATTCTTGCCTTTGTAGGTTAGTCAAAACTTTTTTGTCCTTCCTTCTTTTGAAGATGATTGCCTGACAGTACTCAGAGCAAGAGTCCTCCTCTTCTCCTGTTTCCTTTTGACTGGCTTGTTGGCTTCCAGCTTTAGAGCGAGAGAGTGCTTGACTTGCAACACAAAGCTGTCCATGGGCAGTTCTTCAGTTATGACCTTCACAGCACACTAGCCCTCAAAACTAGGCTAGTATGCAACCAGCACCTCAGGCTATTGGCACACACAAACACCTCAGCTCATTAGCACACCTTCTTCCACTAGCACACACAGACCAGGGTTGAATGTTGTTGTGTAATCTTGGAAGGTGAAGCCACAATACACATCTCTCACCCAGACTGCTGTCTTTTATCTCCATCATATTCACAGTCTAAAATAACTGCTAAGAGATTACAGTTCAGTTTGTAGTGCATCTCTCCGTTTTCAGTCCATCCTTTAGAGACTTCCTTGATACTTTGTCAGGCGTGACGTTCTAGGATCTCTCTCATTCTCCAGCCAGTCACAAAATTTACACTGAGGAAGGGTCACTGGACCCGAAACATTAACTTTGATTTTCTTCTTCACAGATGCTGCCAGACCTGCTGAGTTTTTCCAGCAACTTCTGTTCTTGTACAAAATTTACACTTACAGTCACCTTGGCTGTATCAATCCTCTTTTAACAAGGCTATATTTTGAATTAAAACTCGAAATGCCCATATGTAGACTGGGCCGTGACAGTTTAGTCCCTTGTGTGTGTTCCACTATTCAGTGAAATCATGGCTGATCTTCCACCTAACTCCATATAACCAGTTTTGTCCAAAACTCTTAATACTTTTGGCTAACAGGAATGTAATAATCTCAGCTTTCAAAATTAACAATTGATTTGGCATCATTTCCTATTTGTGGCCAAGAGTTTCAACCTTTACAATCCTTTGTTATGCAGAAGTGGTAGATAACTTCATTCCTCAGAGACGTAGTTCTAATTTATTTATTCCTTTGTCGTGGATTTCCAAACAATGGAAACTGGTTCTCTCCATCTGTCTTATTGGTTCCCCTTAATAGCTTGAGATCTTCTACCAAATTGTTCCTTAGTCTTCTAAACACCAAGGAATACTATTCAAGGTTATGTAAAAAGTACTAACACGCACAGCAATTCTCTAATACTTTATCACCTCCATATGCTTTTCATCAGCATCTGGCAATTCGCCTAAGACAGTGATGGTCTCAAAGCCAGAATTTTGTAGTTGCAAGGAATTGTCATTAAATGTACACAAGTCTGAGAATTCTTTGATTCTGATGATGTTTTAAATATCTGTGCAGAGGATTCAACAGGGCTGAATGAATTGCTAAGCACAGAACCAAGAAGCGAACAGTAGACACACAGTTTGCTGAATTGTTTCAAAGCTGACCAAATTGATATAGAGTATTGGAGAATTATCAGAGTATGTATGAAATAAATATGTACACTTGACATTGACATACAGTTAAGCCAATACCTTAAATAAGTATCTAACCATCAATGAATAGTATCGGCCGTGTTTGGGAAAGTAACACTCTCCCCTCGAGTCATTGGATTTGGGTGCAAGTCCCATTCAAGGACATCAATTCAAGGACATTTCACTGCAGTACTGAAGGAGTGCTACAGTTGTGGCTGTCTAGGTTTTAGCTGCCTGTTTGGTTGGATGCTGATTAGAAGATCCCATGACACAACTTCAATGAAGAATAGCTAAGTTATGCCTTGTGCCCTCACCAAAATGTGTCCCTCAGTCAACATCACAAAAGAACAGGCAATCCACGAGTTATCAGATTGCTGTTTGTGGAGAGTTTTCTGGCAGCTCTGTTTTCTACGTTACAACAGTGTTTACACTTGTAATAAGTTAATTGATGGTAAAATGCTTGGAGATGTCAAATAGGTTGTGAAAAGTGCGATATAAATTCAAGTCATTTTATCTGAATTTGCAGTGACATCCATATCAAAAATTTGTAGTCTTTGCAGTTATGGTGGTTCCCTTGGGTTTAAGGGTCATGTTTACTGGTACATGACATGAACTCCGGGGCTCTCAATAATCCTGACTCCCATCCAGTTTCATTTCCAGAGTGAATCTCATTTTGTCTAACTTACGCCCACAGCCAGAAGACATCGGCCAATCTCCAATGACTTCCACACCAGAAGGAGACAAAGTGGATCTTGAGGCCTTCAGTCAGTTCACCAGGATTATCACCCCAGCCATTACCAGAGTTGTGGATTTTGCCAAAAAGCTACCAATGTTCTCGGAGGTATTTTTGTCGTTGAAAATGTTCTTGACTTTGGTTATGAGGAGGAAATACTTCTACTGTTTAGCATTTTCATTCCCAATTGATTATAAAGCACTGTGATAGCCACAGTAGAACCTGGTGATGTTTAAGAGACAGTATTGCTACCACTCATGGTTGACTTGCAACAGGCGGTTTCAGTTTATGCAATTTCTGACACGCCTGAATTTCCCTTGTCAATTTCTTGCACGAAGTACAGAACAGCAACAAATCCTGGAAACTGACGGTGACTCATTACCTTTGGAAGTAATCAGTGACTGAATTGAAAACAACTGTTGCAATTCAAACCCAAACACCCATTGCAAGTGCCCCGAGAATTGGGAGAGATTGGGCTTTTTGACAGCATACTGCCCCTCCCACCCTCAACACGCACCTCCTTCCCCATGGGAATTTCCTCCTCCCAAACCTCACCACCCTCCTTCATTACTGTCATCATGGGGCAATGATTCTCCGACCCACAGGAGAGGGAAATGGCAGAGGTTTTCCTTTTCTTCACCCCAGTTGCTGTCGCCTGCAGGCCCAATCCCATGGGAGATAGCCGCAGATTCTTCAGCGAAAAGGGCCAGGCCTTGGAGGGCTCTCCCCTCCCTTCAGCCCACCCAGATTCTGAACTGCTGAATGTCCCAGTCATGGGGAATCCTCCCTTCTCACCATCAGGGAATCTATCCTGACCTGTAAAAGATCCCTTTGACAATCTGCTTCATGTGGAGAGGCCATTCCTTCAGAACTGCCCTGAAGTCTCCAGGAGTAAGGTTGGGGCAACAAAGCCAGGCAAGCCCAGAGGAAAATCACAGAAACATTCAGAACTGTGGGCATTATGGATATTTCCTTTGAATGCTTTAGGTTTCTAATTTGAGGAGAATTGCAGTTTGCTGATCAGTCAGGAGCATTCTGATCAAACAGGAAGCCTGCTCTTTTCCAGTTGGCTGTGGGAAGACAGCTGGGTGTGTTTGGTGACCAATAGCAGGAGTATGGGAGTGGGGGTGATTGGAGACAGAAAGTCATGTGACAGAGCTTCCTGGTCTACTTCCAACCAGAGTTGGCAACCTGAGCAGGGACATCCATGCCAAATACATAATTATCACGAAAGTGATGGATTGGGGTGAAATAGTTCACACTGAGGAGGATAAGTGGGGGTAGCCATGGTAAATGAGGGATTACAGGGGACAGGTGGGGGTCTGCATAGGATGCTCTTCAGAGGGTCAGTACAGACTCGATGAGCCAAATGGCCTCTTTCTGCATTGTGGGGATTCTATGATTCTAACTGTTGCAGCAAAGACTTTACCCACGGCTCGAAGGCAACAAGTAATTAGCCTGCTCAAGACTTCTGCTAATGGGTGTCTTGATCTAGGCACAAAGTGATAGAAATGACTACATCACATTATTCAAGATTCAATAGTGTTTTCATGCCCTAAAATGACAGTGCTGCTAATTTTATGCATTCACAGGATGGGGGCATCACTGGCTGGGTCAGCATTTATTGCCTACCCTGAACTGCTTAGAAGACATTTTAGAGTCAACCGCATTGCTGTGGGTCTGGGAGTCACATGGAGGAAAGGACAGAAATTACCTTTCCTAAAGGACATTAGTGAGCCCAAATTGATTGGTTTTCCTGACAATTGACAAGGGCTTCGTAGTCCATAAGACCGTAAGACATAGGAACAGAAATTAGGCCATTCGGCCCATCGAGTCTGCTTCGCCATTCAATAATGGCTGATAGGTTTTTCAACCCCATTGTCCCGCTTTCTCCCTGTAACCTTTGATGCCCTTGACAGCCAAGAACCTATCTATCTACGTCTTAAATGTACTCAATGGCCTGGCCTCCACAGCATTCTGTGGCAATGAATTCCATAGATTCACTAGTCCCTGGCTGAAGGAGTTTCTCCTTATCTCTGTTCTAAAGGGTCTTCCCTCAACTCTAAGTCTGTGCCCTCGGGTCTTGGTCTCTCCTGCCAATGGAAACATCTTCCCAATGTCCACTCTGTCAAGGCCACCCAGTATTCTGTAAGTTTCAATTAGATCCCCCCCCTCATCCTTCTAAACTCCATTGAGTATAGACCCAGAGTCCTCAAACGTTCCTCATATATTAAGCCTTTCATTCCCGGGATCATTCTCGTGAACCTCCTCTGGATCCATTCCAGGGCCAGTACATCCTTCCTAAGGTATGAGGCCCAAAATTGCTCACAATACTCTAAATCATTAAACTCCTGAGTGCAGATTTTTCGTGAATTGAAATTCCACCATCTACCATGGCAGGATTTGAACCCAAGTCTCCAGAACATTACTTGGGTCTAATACCACTAGGCCATCACCACCCACCCCTGAAATATTTACATAATTTATATAAGAACATAAGAGGAGAGGAGCTAGAATAAGTCATTCAGTCCCTCAATCCTATTCCACTATTGTACAACATCATGGCTGATCTTGAACCTTCCCATATTATTCCTATATCCATATGTTTACTGTTATGAAGCGGAGGGTGACCCCCCCCCCCCCACCCAATAACTAAAACTGAAATACCCAAAGAAGCTCGCCTCATTCTCTGTTAAATGAAGTGTGAAAAGTGGTACAATCTGCCTCTCATTCCCCCCTCCACCCAATCTGTTATAAAAGAGGGATTAAGTGAAATGAACTCCTGACAGTCATTCTGTAATCAATAACTAAAAATTTATTTATCTAACTCTAACAGTGAACAAATTAACAGAACTACTAACAAACTGAACAATTCCCCCTTAACTACTAACTATTCCCAAATAAAACAAAATTCTAATGGTGTTCTGTTCCAATAGGTACAAGTTCCACTTATATAAACCAAATTAATGTTTAAAAAATTAAAACTAAATCTCTTGAGATTACAGCCAGAATAAGTCTTCTGGAATGTGCTTTGCCTTCTCCATGTTCCTCCAGTCAGGAACGCCTTCCTCCATCGAATTCTTGTGTCAGGAATATTAGCTAAGAGTGCTGTAGTACCTTTATTTAGATGGTGCTTACTCTGCGATCTTAGTGATTTCTCTGAGAGCCAGTGATTTCCTCTTTTTTTTAGAGCTGATAGCTATTGAGAGCTGTTTTCTTAACAGATAGCAGTTTGTTCTCACCCCAATTTTCCAATGTCCTCTTCTTTTATACCTTTAGTGACCTATTAATTTCTCACAATAGGATTAGTCCAAGGTTGTCAAAACCATCAAATTAAAATTTAATTGGGCTTTTGTATCTAGGGCCCGGTTTAAATTAATTGGCTAAATTCAAGAACAGTTGTCTCTGTGAAAATGCTGCTTTGCTAACAGCATTGTATCAAAAGGCTATGTTTCAATTTCAAGAACTCTCTGTGCATCTGCAGCTGCCTGTAGACAATGTTTTAGTCTCCAAGCCTAAACAAAACACCTTTTAAAGGGACCATGCACTCTTCTCCTCCCCCCATATCATTTTACAAACAAATTCTAACGTCCTGCCTTCCAATCCATAAGTGCTATCCCAACTTCACAACACCTCCCCCCTTAAGAAAAAAAGAACCATAATTATGAAGAGATAGCTTAGTTTTTTTTTCTCTAAATCTTAACGCCACTATTACTAGATACATAGGTCATTACATAGGTCATACACATTTCATACTAATTCTATATACACATATATATAGCATTGAACACTACCATGTCTTATATACACATTTTCCTTTCAAACCCACGAAACACGTCTGCAATAATATTTTCACGACCCGCAACATGTACAATCTGTAAATTAAATGCCTGTAACATAAGACTTTATAGAGGTCCAGCAAGGCAAGTGATGAGTAATGCAATTGCTGGTTTACAGGTAACTGTTCCTCGATCACTTCAATGAATGAGATACAGGAACAATAATAGTGCTATGGATACACACAGCTTATGTTGCTCGCTATAGTGACCAGTGGAGTAGGCACCAGCAGTCACCAAATATGCCTGAGCCAAATTTCAAGCCAACTTTCCTTCCAAACTAATAGAAAGTGAGCAGTTGTGGCTAGTGGGTGAAAGCAGAATCAGACAGGTCATGGTCTGTCAGCCTGCAGATAGTTACCATCTAGGCTTCCCATGTGATGACGTGTTAGCGAGCCATTCAAGCACATTATGCCTCAGTTTAAGACCGGAGAAGAATCTGGATTGCAGACAAAAGGGGAGTGCAAGTTGACATTTCTATAGAAGTGCACATCAGTGAAAAAATGGGAAGTAAGATGCTCAATCGGGAAAGGCTTAATGTGCAAAGCCACAACTTATTTTTATAGATGATGTTGCTTTAATGCCTGGAGGAAGCCTCACCCCAGTGCTAAGACAGAAAGACAGCCCTGTTGCTGATTGCCTGCTGGTGAAGTTAGTTTTTTGTTTAATCTTGTTGTGTTCTGTCTTGTTCAGCTGCCTTGTGAAGACCAGATCATCCTACTGAAAGGCTGCTGCATGGAGATAATGTCTCTGAGGGCCGCTGTCCGTTATGATGCAGAGAGCGAGACGCTGACACTAAATGGAGAAATGGCCGTCAAGAGAGAGCAACTGAAGAATGGAGGACTAGGGGTTGTCTCAGATGCCATATTTGAGCTGGGCAAATCCTTAGCTGCCTTCAGTCTGGATGACACAGAGGTGGCACTCCTCCAGGCAGTTTTATTGATGTCCTCAGGTAAAGCTGCTCACTGTTAAGCATTACTGTCAGATAAAGCATTTTTCTTTTAACCCGGAGTATTTTGTATTATATTCTTATAGCCCCAAAATCAATGATAGTTAGACTGTGAGAGTCAAAGGATAACCAGGCAACAACTGCTTCAGCACAAGATGTGCATTCTCTTGCAAATCACAACATATACTCCAAAAGAAGATGGGAAATACGAACAAGAGTGGTCCATACAGCTCCCCAAGCCCCCTCTGCCATTTAGTTAGATCATAGCAGACTTCTAACTCATCTCCACTTTCTCTCCCTATCTTTATATCCCTCAATTCTTTTACTGTCCAATAATCTAACAATCTCAATCCCAGATTTACTTTCAGGCAAGAGGATGACTTGTTTTTGAAGAGTTCTAAGACGCAAATAACCCCAATACAGTATCCACAGACACAAACACAGAGAACACTGGAGAAACTCAGCAGGTCTGGCAGCACCCGTGGAGAGAGAAACAGAGTTAACATTTTGCATCTTGTATCTTCAGCTCTGAAGAAGAGTTATACCGGACTCAAAACATTAACTCTGTTTCTCTGTCCACAGGTGCTCCCAGCCCTGCTGAGTTTCTTCAGCAATTTCTGTTTTTGTTTCAGATCTGCAGCCTCCTTGTATTTTGCTTTTATTTGATTGCCCAATCTTAAGTCTCTGCGATCTACGAGGCACATGATGCATGGGAGGTTGAGTTGATAGGTTGGTTGAAGGTTCTCTGATGCCTCAACCTTTTCCTGTCCATATTCCTGAGCAAACTCCTCAACATGTTTGGTGCCTTCCCAAATGAACATTCCTGGTTTTGGTGTTCCACAAGCTAGGGCCTCCCATGAGTTGATGGATATGTGTGAGCTCTTCACAGAGCTTAAAGCATCTCCACTGTCCCCCTGGATCTACTCAATAAGTGAGAATCCACAGTTCCCTGCGGTGAAGAATTCCAAAGGTTCACAGAACCCTGAGTGAAAACAATTCTCCTTACCTAAGCTGTGAACGGCTTGATCCCTTCTCCTGAGTCTTTGACCCTTACTTGTAACCTGCCCAGTCAGATTCATGTTTGTCAGAGTGGTAGCCACTGGGCATCAGTGTAGAAATCACCTTTAAGGCCTGTACAAGTGACTGAACAGCCAGTGAGATATGCCTTAGTAGTGACCCTTCTGACTACAATGTATTGAAGGATGTGGACAAGCCTCATAAATAACCACAGAGGCTTTCATACACACAGCCCCATGAAGAGTGAATTCACTGCAGTGAACCATTGGTTTTCAGTTGAGCCAGGGACAAATGCAAAGAGCTAGACTTCAAATAAAGAGACAGTGTGGAGGAGTAAAATTGAAAAGGGGTGGACTACTTTTGAGGGTGGGGCCTCAGGTAAAACAACAAACAGACTGCACTCAATTAGCACCTTTAAAAAGATAAAAGTGTTGCACTACTTCACAGAAGTGTTATCAAGCCAGAGTAAGTCAGCTCACACTTCCCTCTTTCCAACCTCAATGTTGAGGAAGACAGAGCAACAATAAATCTCCACAAATCAAAGGATAAAATCAGATGGGAAGCAAATTCGATTTTGGCCCTTGTGAAAGATAAGGCAGAGGAGATTTGACAAGGTGGGTGCAGAGAGGATGTTTCCCTTATTGGAGAGAATAGAATTAGGAAACGAAGATGTAAATGAGGAAAACTTTCTGTCTGAGAGAGATGTAAGTCTCAATTTCAATTTAATCAGGGGATGTGGGATTCAGTGGCTGGGCCTGCATTTATTTTCCATCCCTTATTTCTCTTGAGAAGGTGGTGATGAGCTGCCTTCTTGAACTGCTGTAGTCAATTTGGTGAAGGTAACCTTAACATGCTGCTCAGGAGGGAATTCCAGGATTTTGGCCCAGCGACACTGGAGGAACAGTAATGCAGTTTTTTACCCAGAGGTTGGAGGGAAGAGTCTTTGAATGTTTTTAAGGCAGGGATCCATAAATTCTTGACTAAGAATTGTTCATTAACATTTGTGAATTTTTATGTTAATTAACACCCTTAAGAGAGTCAAAGATTATCTGGGGTAAGTGGATTTGAGGCCCGGCAATGATCTTACTGAATGGGGGATCAGGCTTTTTGGGCTGAATGGCCGACTCCCTCTCCTATTTCTTACATTTGTACAACGTCAAAAACATCAAAGGTTGATCTTGTTCCTGTCCCAGTTTCAAATGGACAAAAGTAATGAAGAACTTGGGAAAGCCATGATTGACAAGTAACTCTTGTTCTTGCTTCCAGATCGAACAGGACTGACTTGCATTGACAAAATAGAGAAGTGCCAAGAGGCCTACCTCCTAGCATTTGAACACTACATAAACTATCGCAAACACAACATTCCACACTTCTGGCCAAAGCTGCTGATGAAAGTCACAGACCTACGGATGATTGGAGCGTGTCACGCCAGCCGCTTCCTCCACATGAAAGTTGAATGTCCCACAGAACTCTTTCCTCCCTTATTCCTGGAGGTGTTCGAGGACCAGGAAGTGTAGGCCTGAGCGAAAACTGGCTGAAAAACAGAACACACATACACACACACCCACAAACAATCACCGGCTAACTGCCTGGCGTCATGTCCATTGTGGATCATTTTGTCTATCTAAACTTGGCCGAATCTCAAAGAACCATTCCATTAATGCGGGTACCAAGTGCAAATATTTTGCAAGTCGTAGTAAAGTGTTCCTTGGTCCTTGTGCTCTTGTCTTGCAAAGGAAGGTCATGCTGCCTAGCTGTGCGTTGCTGCTTTAACAGCTGATTATATAAAACAGCTAACTCCAAAACAAAATGGCCAACCATCCCATCTTCATTTTTTTTACACGTTCAACTTGGTGCAACCTTTTTTCAGTGGTTTATCATTCTGCAGAAATGTTGTCCTATCTTTGACCACTGCAGCTCTCGGAGAGCAGTCATTCTTTATGACTGGCAACAAAATTTGATTCAACGGTTCGAAAGAAAGAGAGAGAGAGAGAGAGAAAAAGAGAGATGGAACGTCAAGGCATGAACTGCCCTACCTCAGTGTCACAGGGAGGAACTGCAGTGTGGCAATTCAAGAATGGAACGGGATAGAAAGTTGCAGAGAGGTGTTTCTGTGGGAGGTGTCGGCTATGCCTCGCGACCGCAATCGAGTTTGTTTGCCCATGCACACCCGTCTGCAATCCGCTGCCATTCTCAGTGGGAGGAGAAAGCAAAGCCTCCTTCCCGCTGAAGCATCTGAGATCCTCCTGATTCCATCAGCGCTGAGGTCTCCTTTTGTCAGGTGAAGCCTCCTCGCGGCACAGACCTCAGTTACCGGCGGAGAGCAAACCCTAACCGTCGGTGTGTTTTATTTCTGACAAAGGAGCACGGTCAGAAAGGGCCATGCAGAAACGCAGGGGGTAAAAAAAAACAAGAAGTGGCACCTGAGATTACCCAGGCTCATGGGCAACAGGGGATTTAGCTGCATGAAGAAAACATGGGAGGAAAATTCAGAGAATTTTTACAAATGTGTTAAAACTAACACTTGCAATGTGTCTGAGATAACAAGGTATAGAGCTGATGAGCACAGCAGGCCAAGCAGCATCAGAGGAGCAGGAAGGCTGACATTTCGGGCCTAGACCCTTCTTCAGAAATGGGGGAGGGGAAGGGAATTCTG